TCTTAGCAAGGTTGATAGCTTACATGCTGTCAATCTTCATGGTAATTTCTCCATGATATTTATCTGTAATCTCTTCGACCAAGTTAACCATCCATGTTGCTTGACATGCACAAAGAGAAGCAACTATGCACTCTGCTTCATACGATGATAATTCCACTACTGGTTCTTTTCTCAAAATCTAAGAAACTGGTGCACCACCTAGTATGAACACATATCCTGTTGTGGATTTCCGATCCTCAACATCACTACACCAACTTAAATCAGTGTATCCTACTAATTTTCATTCTTTTCTTTTATCGACTGCATGAAACAAAATGCCATAGTCAAGAGTTCTTTTCAGATACTTAGTATCCTCTTTGTTGCTTCTAGGTGTGATACCTTTTGCTTCTGCATGAATCTACTTACCATACCTACACTATATGCTAAGCCATGCCTTGTATAATAAAGGTATCTCAATGACCCAATAAGTCTTTTGTATTGGGTTGGGTCGACATCATCTTCTTTTGCATCTTTAGATAGTTGCAGTCTTGTTTCTGCAGGTGTCAAAGTCGAGTTGCATTCTTCCATCTCAAATCTCTTGAGAATTTCACTTGCATATCTTCTTTGATGCATCATCAAACCTCTACTACTCTTGTATAATTAGATGCCAAGTAAATATGAAATGTCACCCATATCATACATTTCAAATTCTTTGTTGAGATCACCTTTGAAGTCTTTAATCTCACTTTTGCAACTACCTATTATCAATAAATCATCCACATAGAGACATATTATAAGTAATTCACTATTGCTTCTTCTTACATATTATCCATGTTCAGTTGTGCAATTCACAGATCCCTTATCCCTTAGAAATCTATCTATCTTCTTATTCCAAGCTCTTGGAGTTTGCTTCATAAACCTACTAGTTATGCAACATAAACTTCTTCAACTAAGGGTATATTCAGGAAGGCACACTTCACGTCCATCTGACATATGTGCCAACTGCTCATTTCTGCTAGACCAATAACCAACCTAATTGTTTTGATCTTAGCCACATTTGCAAATACCTCATCAAAGTCGATTCCTTCTTTCTGAAGAAATCCTTTTACCATAAGCCTTGCCTTATGTCGAGTTACTTCGCCTATGGGATTCAACTTCACCCTGTATACTCACTTTACATCAATTTCCTTCTTGCCTTGATGCAATTCAACAAGTAACCAGGTGTTGTTGTCTTCGATGGACTTCACTTCTTCATTCATTGCTTTCACCTACTTTAAATCCTTCAATGCTTCAATTGCATTGATTGGTTTGAAATCTGCATAGAAAACATAATGTAATAGCTTAACTTCATTATCGACCATATCATCTAATGTAATCACACAATCTTGCAACCTTGCAGGCATGTGTCTTATTCTATGAGATCTGCTTGTACCTAGTTGATCTATAACTCCCTCTTGTCGAACTTCTATTTTGACTTGAGTTTTTGGTTCTTCAAGTAATATTCTCACTGAATCCTTCTTGACATTTCCAGTCTAATCCCATTCCTTAAGCTCATCTTTGATTACGTCCCTGCTAAACATCATCTGCTTGTTCACTGGGTCGAATAACTTGTAACGTCCAGTCAAATGATATCCAACTAGGATCATCTGACTCAACTTGTCTTTGAGTTTTCTTCTCAACTGATCTGGCACATGTCTATGTGTTATAGATCCAAACAATTTCAGATGATTCAAAATATATTTAACACCAGAACAACATTCTTATGGAGTAGTTCCTTCTAGCTACTTTGTTAAACATCTGTTCAAAATATATGTTATTGTCGACACAACTTCACCCCCAAAACTCTTTAGGTAAATGCTTGCCTTTCAACATACTTCTCACCATATTCATGATGGTTCGATTCTTCCTTTCTGTAGTTCACTCTGCTTTGGAATGTAGGTTGGAACCACCTCATGCACAATCCCTTCTCTTTCACATAATGCATTTAAGTATTTTGACACATACTCTCCACCACCATCAGTTCTCAAAAGTTTGAGCTTTCGACCACTTTGCCTTTCGACCATAGATTTAAACTTGGCAAATACCTCGATCACTTCACTTTTCTTCTTGATCAGATAAGTCCACAGTTTTCAACTGAAATCATCTATGAATGTAACAAAATATCTGTTACCTCCCATTGAATCCACCTGGATTGGTTCATATATATCTGAGTATATGACTTCAAGGATTGCCTTCGACTTGCTTCCTGCATCCTTGCTAAAGTTGTTCTTGTGCTGCTTTGACTGCACACATTCCTCACACACCTTGTTTGGAATGTCGATTTCTGGTAATCCTGAAACCATATTTCTTCTCTTTAAATATCTGATGTCTTTGAAGTTGAGATGGTCAAGTCGATAATTCCATATACACTCATCTCTGCTAGCTGCAATTTCAAGGCATTTGTGCTCCATCACATAAAGTTCAATCTTGAACGTTCTATTTTAAGACATAGGAGCCTTCAAGATTAACCTTCCATTTTCGTTGACATCTCTCATTATCTTGTCTTTGACCAACACTTTGTAATTCTTTTCGACCAAATGCCCTATGGTGAGCAAGTTGCTCTTCATGCCTGGTATGTACAACACATTGGAAATTACTGACCTTTTGCCATCTTTTCTCATAATCACAACATCTCTAATACCTTCAACTACTAGTGTATTGTCATTTTCAAATTTTACCATATTCTTCATTGAGGCTTTTAGGTTGATAAACCAATCTTTCCTTCCAGATATGTGTGATGAGCATCCTGAATCCATGTACCATTGGTCTTTGAATATTTCTTCATCTCTTATTGTAACCATCAATATCATCTCTTATTCTTCATACTTTGTGAATTTTGCATCACTTTCTTGATTCTTTCTCTTTTATGGACAATCACTAAATAGTGACCATACTTCTGACAATTGTAACACTGAATATGACTCTTGTCAGGCTTTTGACCATCACCTCTTCCTCTACCTCCAACACTACCTCTTTGGTTGCCTTGGTAATGGTGTCTTCTTTGATTTGACACAACTCCTTCCTGTTGGTTTCCTCTTCCATTCGAATTGTTGAAGCCACCTCTACCTTTGTCGAACCACTTTCCTTTGCCTTTACTTTCTTTTACTGATTATGCCTGCAAAGCCATATTACTCTTCGACTTGCCTGTAGCTCTTTCAGCCATTCGATGTTCATGAGATTCAAGTGTTCCTTGAAGCTCTTCTTTTGTTAAGTTTGACAAATCCTTTGATTCTTCTATGGCTCCACCACATGGTCGAACTTAGGAGCCAAAGACCTCAAGATCTTTGAAACAATAACTCTTGTTGTTAACGCTTCTCCGCATACCTTGATTTGATTCACTAGTTTCGTAATCCTAGTGAAGAAATCAGATATGCTCTCTCTATCTTCCATCTGAAGAAATACATACCTTCTTCTGTGAGTTTGTAACCTAACCTCTTTCACCTTTTCCGCACCTCTAAAAGACTTCTCAAGAATCTCTCAAGCTTCTTTTGCAGATTTTAAATCACTCACTATTTTAAAATTGTCTGAACTTAAACATTGATGAATTATAAAGAGTGTTTTATAACTCTTCTTCTCTGATTCTATGTGTTCTTTCTTTTCTTCTTCTGAAGTGTCTTTTCCAAGCGCTTCTAATCCATCCTTTACAAGATCCCAAAGACATTGACACCTAAATATAACATTCATCTGTTTGGACCAATTCTCATAGTTATCTACTTTTAGAATTGGAAGACTTGCTGGATAATTCCCATTCCCATAATTCACTGCCATCGTGATTTCTTTTTCTTCTTCTTCTTTCCTTGAATCGGTCACCCGGAGCTCTTGATACTAGATGTTAGAAATCTACCAAAATCTATGATGAATTTATATCAATCTTGATGAATGAGATTATCATCACTCACACAATAACAATGAAAAGAAAAAAAAAGGAAATTTAAAGAAGAAAAGGATTAGGGTTTCTACAAAGTTTCTCTCTGCCCACAAATTATGGAAAAACTTTTATTCACTTGCAACTGCAAATACTGTGAATGTGAAAATAAGAATAAAGGTTACTCCCTCTATTTATGTCTTTAGGTTAGCTTGCTCTCTAAGTCAAAAAGTCCAAAACTATAAAAGCTCAAAATACCTATTTTGGAACTAAATCAAATTTGTGTGAAACATCTGCTTCGACACACTATCTAGACTAATTCGACACGCATACATACTGGGTGTTTCGACACACCTTATACTGAGCAACATCCAGCTCTGACACAAAGAATTACACATTTAACAATATCCCTAACATCATTACCATTTTTAAATGGCACCCACATACGTTAGATATCGTCATTGTCATCCGTAATAGAGATGTACGAATCAAGTCTGTCCAATTCTTCTAACTCTTTTCATTAATCTCTATCTATCCAAATAATCAAATTTCTCATAAGTTGCTCGAAACTCCAGATATTTTAAAATCGCATGTCTTTTCCTACTCATGTTAGAACAAATGAAAAAAATATTTAAAAGAAAATGAGAAAATATGTAAAAAAAATTATATGTTTTTTTTCTCTTTTATTTAAATATTTTTGTTGAAAAGTATGATTATTTAAAAAAGAAAATCTAAAATCCAAACTGGAATTTTTCCCTACAAAATATAAAATATAAGAAAAGGGCATAATCTGTTTTTACTTAGTTACACTGTTACACTTTTCTTGCCGACAATTATTATATTTTATTGAATCCACAATTTATTAAAATTTAAAGTATACACCATATAGTAACAAAAAAAAAAAAATAAAACCTTAATAAGCTCATCATATTTAACAACACATACGCGACATGAATAAGCACACGCTACTCCAACCCTGAAACTCAACTTTTCTTCTCTCTCTCTCTCTCTCTCTGAAACCATAGATATAAAGCGATAACAGAATCTACATTCTTCCATCTTCAATCCCTCACTCTTCAATCCCTCACTCTTCGTTACCGTGGCGAGAATCTTCAGAATGGTAACTCATTCTCTATCTCAAATCCAGATTAAGTTTTATTATTATGAATTTTCCTAATTTTGATGTTGTTTACTAATTAGGGTTTTTGATATCTGAGTGTAATTTCAGGTGGTAGCTGCTGGCTCCAAGTTCAACAATTTGAGAAGAGGGAGCAGTGGTTCTTGTTCTTCTCATAATGTTGTTATCAATGACTATAGTAATAATAATAATAATAACAACTGTGATGGAGAGTTTTCAAGGATTAATAAAAGTGGTTGTTTTTCATCAATGGTGGAGGGTGTTGATAAAGACTCTTCCTGTGTTTCGTTCACTACTTTTAATATCCTCGCTCCTATTTACAAACGGGTTGATCCACAGGTTTTTTTTTTTTTTTTTTTTTTGTTGTTGTTGTTGTTGTTTATGTTATGTGTAGGAGAATCATCATGTATTGAAAAGTGTTTTTTTTTTTGGACTGTTTGGTTCTGATTTTGTGTGTGTGTGTTTTAACAGAATCAAGGACTTAGAGAAAGTGATTTCAGATCTTTTTGGTTAGCTAGGAATCAAAGGATTCTTGATTCATTGCTTTCTGAATCATCTTCTATTATGTGCTTACAGGTACTGATTTTCCTCCTTTCTATTTAGTGGTGGAGAGAGGGTAGTAGCAAGGTTTTAAATAACGGCCGCGGTTGTGGACAAGTGTTGTAATGTTGATTGCAGTCGTCGGAGTGTAAATTAACTACACGTTCTTTGTCTTAAAAATGGTGAATAACAGTATTGGTATCGGAACCTGTTTTGTCGCAGCCGTTTTTTAAAACCTTGGTAGTAGTGTCTCTTATTGGTTGTGAAACAGTGCGTTTATTATTGAGTGGAGCCATCATGATAGTTCAAATCTAGATGATTCATTCGATGTCATCATGATGTTTATAAATTTGTTTATCTTGTAGGAATTTTGGGTTGGAAGTGAAGAGCTAGTTCACATGTATGAGGAGAGACTTGGGGATGCTGGCTACCAACTCATCAAGCTTGCTCGAACCAACAACCGTGGAGATGGTAAGAGTCTGAAAATAACTTTCATCGTCTTGCTCATTTAAACATTACTTGCTTCCTTATTTGTGATTAGTGCCAAATTGCTAACGCTCCCATGTCTTTTTGTGGGGTTGTTTTGACTTTTGAGCAAGGTTTTAAATTGCAATTGCAGTCACAGTTACGTCATTGTCCATGATATTGTGGCAAACTGAGAAAAATATAGTTGGTGCGGCCGCAGGCTGCAATTTAAAACTTAGGCTCTGAGGATTTTTCCCGTCAGAATCCAAAATATATGTTTCTCCTAGTATTGTTGTTCTATGGCTCAAAATTTGACATTTATTTTGCAGGTCTGCTGACTGCTATACGCAAAGATCATTTACGTATCATAAATTATCGAGAATTGCTTTTCAATGATTGTGGTGACCGTGTTGCTCAGTTGTTACATGTTCGATCAGTTAATCCCATTTCACAAAACCAAAATGACAGTGTTCACCAAGAGCTTCTGATCGTGAATACACACTTGCTTTTTCCTCATGATTCTAGTCTGTCTATAGTGAGATTGGATCAGGTGTGCGAATTCTCAGCACCACAAAATTCTTTCTTATTCCTTTTTTTGGCACCTTTGAATACTAAAATTTGCCTTTCATTTGCCTTCTTGTAGGTTTATCAAATATTACAATATGTGGAGTTGTATCAGAGAGAAAACAGGCTCAAACCACTGCCTATTATTCTATGCGGGTAGGTTTATTGTTGGTTTTCTTGTGATGTTACTATTCCTATTTGCTACTGAGTCAGATGTCCTTATGTTGTCAACTTCATGTTCTATCTAATGCAGCGATTGGAACGGAAGCAAGCGTGGACATGTTTACAAGTTCCTTAGGTCGCAGGGTTTTGTATCATCATATGATATTGCAAATCAGTACACTGATAGTTATGCAGATGCACACAAGGTAAATATCACAATAGATTATTGTGCACATGAATTCCTATTGCGTAGAGCACGGTGTTAACAGCTTTTTTTTTTTGTTTTGCTTGAATATCCTTTAAACCGGCAGTGGGTTAGTCACAGAAATCATAGAGGAAATATATGTGGCGTTGACTTCATTTGGCTTTGTAATCCTAACCAAGCGCGCAAGCCCTTGAAAACAAGTTGGGCGGAAGCTGTATTTAGTATACTAAAGGTAGTTGCTACTCATCCAGTTTATATATATTTTCTTAGGTGTCTTTGCATTTCTTTTACTTTTATATACACATGCTATTTCTTTGTTTAATTTTCTTTGTTTAATTTTCTTTTCTTTGTTTAATTTTCTTTTTTCTTCTGGATTTCAGTTCCAGCTTCGGAAGGTATTATTGTCCGAAGATGATGGATTTACCTTTTTGAAAGGCGACAACTGTGCTGATTCCGTTAAAGCATTTACCTTTTTGAAGGGCAACAACTGTGTTGATTCCGTTTCATATGTTAGTTTTTCTGAAGCACTCCATAAGGTACTTTATAACCGCCATTATGCATACAACGATATAGAATTCCATTGGCAATATCTAACAAGCTTTTATCTAAAATTGACCCAAAAGTCTCACTATCTCATAACTTCTACAGGTTAAGTTAATTGGCGTGCCTTATGGACTATGCTTTCAACAGTTGCAAGATCTATGGAATCAAGCTGATGTAGATGGAAATGGTGTCATTGACTTTGAAGAATTCAAGGTATATATTGTATCTCTTCACTTCTGTATCTCATCAAAATCTCTGAACATGCATTCATTTGAAAGCGTGGATCTGTACACATTGAATATGCGTAATGCACTGTGCTTGAATGTAAATTTGTTTTTGATAAAGATCATTAGCAACATCGAACACATTCTTTTTCTGCCACTACTATATATTAATTGTTTGATGATTAAATATGTACAGCAAAAGATTTGGAATTCTACATGTTCAGAGCATGTGTTGGAAAATTTCAATGGGTGCGTGGAGAATTCTAATACTGAGCAGGAGCAACAGGCCATTGGTTTTAAGGTGAAGAATGCGATGTTGTTTCCGCGTGAAATGGAGAAAGGACTTTGGCCTGAAGATTACTCTCTTTCTGATCATGCAAGGTTAACTGTTGTATTTTCACCAACAAAGATGTCACGCCCTTAGCGACTAGTGGTTTACCAATCCAAAGTTGTTGGTCTCTATTACACGTTTTCTTGTAGTGAAAGGCTATACTGGAACATTTTTTCTCTCTAAAGTGTGGGAATGCATAAGGTATACAGCTAAAAAGAAGTTTCATTTTTAGAAGTTTGATATGGGAGTAAAATGAAAATGAGAATTTTATGGATGAACCTTCAATGCAATTTAACAAATCAAACTAGTATTTTTTTCATTTTTATTTTTAGCCCCCACATCAAATGTCTTATCATTTTGTTTTTGTAAATAATTGTGTGAATAAGTAGTTCATGGGACATTTTTGGTATGAGTATTGGTATGCTATTAATACCTGACAGATGTACCATAACTGTCACATGTAATCAATTTTGGTGAGACTTGGCCATGTTTTTGTTTTGGCCAAGGAAAGTGCAAAGATATTTTTGCATTGTGACAGATGGTTGGTTATGTATAAGATATTTTTAGCCTAGTAACGTATTTTTTTGAGCAAAGCATACTGATTATTTGTTACATTCATAATTGGTTGCCAGTACTATTATAATAAAAGAGTAATTATAGTTTAAACATATAAAAAGTATTTAAAGAATATATTGAGAATTAAAATTTTATACTCAATATCAGAGTATATCAATAACAACTGATTTGTTACATTGTTAGTTGTATTTGACAGTTATGTTTATGTTACTCCTAGTATTTTATGAGAATGTTAGGAATATTCTAGATTTAGTTAGATCCGATGTGTGCATAAATTCTCAGAAATTTGTCATACTATTATAGTCTCTGATTCATAAAGAATCTCCTACTCATTCTCCATCACCAATCTACTCTCATTCGTCCTTCTTTATAGATGTTGGGTTTAGTATCATGTTTTACTTTGCACTCCTCCTTGAAGATTTATATGAAACTCAAAGAAAAAGTCTAAATTTTATACTCAATATCAGTATATCAATAACATCTGATTTGTTACATTACTAGTTGTAACTAGTTGTATTTGACAATTATATTTCTGTTACACCTAGTATTTTATGAGAATGTTAGAAATATTCTAGATTTGATTAGATCCGATGAGTGCATGAATTCTAAATTTTTTGTCATAATATCATAGTGTCTCTGATTCATAAAGGGTCTCCTCATTCTCCATCATCAATCCACTCTTATTCGTCCTTTTTTATAGACGTTGGGTTTAGTATTATGTTTTACTTTGCACTCCTCCCGGAAGATTTATGTGAAACTCAATGAAAAAAGTTTAAATTTTATACTCAATATCAGAGTATATCAATAAAAATTGATTTGTTACATTGCTAGTTGTATTTGACAGTTATGTTTCTGTTACACCTAATATTTCATGAGAATGTTAGAAAGATTTTAGATTTAGCTAGATCCGATGTGTGCATATATTTTTGGAAATTTGTCATAGTATCATAATTTTTTAATCACATAGGGTCTCTTCCTCATTCTCTATCATCAATCCACTCTCATCCGTCCTTCTTTATAGATGTTGGGTTTCGTATCATGTTCTACTTTGCACTCCTTAAAGATTTATGTGAAACTCAATGAGAAAAACATAAATTTTAGACTCAATATTAGAGTATATGAATAACAACTGATTTGTTACATTGCGAGTTGTATTTGACAGTTATGTTTCTGTTACACCTAGTATTTTATGAGAAAGTTAGAAATATTCTAGATTTATTTAGATTCGATGTGTGCATAAATTCTCAGAAATTTGTCATAGTATCAAAGTCTCAAATTCATAAAGGGTCTCCTCCTCATTCTCCATCATCATTTCACTCTTATTCGTCCTTTTTTTTATAGACGTTGAATTTAGTATTATGTTCTACTTTGCACTCCTCCTTGACGATTTATGTGAAAGCCTAAATTTTATGTTTGACGTCAATAAATTGGACATTACATCAATGCTCACAACTTCTAATATTTTCTTGTTTTTCCTTCGATTCCACCTAGATTTCTCAATAATGAATATCATACATGTGGCAAACTGAACCCTGAGTATAATTAGAATTTTTAGGCCACATATCCAAAACAGTACGTGATTGCGAAAACGGTCGTGACAAAATGGTATTGGTCTATATTATTATTCACCGTTTTTATATTAAAGAAAAATTGTAGTTAATTTATGTCGCTACGACCACATTCAGCATTGCAACACATATACCTATTAGGATAGCAAAAGCCTCTGCATGATGCGGCTGCGATTGATATTTAAATTTTTTCACATATCCTTCGAATTACCATGGATTTTCTGCAAATTACACCGAACTCTTACAATCAATTCCCAAATGCAAATCCTAAATATGGTTCAAATGCTAATGGTTATGCCCCTCCATTCCACTGTCACAATCTTGTTAATGAAAATTTCAATGTCGCATATTCTTTGAAATATCATGTAATTTTTGCAAATTAGTCTAACTCTTATAATCAACTCCCACATGGAACTCCCAATAAATTAGACTGACTCTTACAATTAATTTCCACATGGAACTCTCAACTATGGTTCAAATTCTAGTTGTTATGCCCTTCCACAATCTTATTCAACTGCAAGTTGTCTTTAAAGGTTTAAACAAGTTTTCTCTCACTAAACCTCAAGCTTACACCACACACAAAAATGGCGCAACTTAGGATATGATTATGTCTCAAAGATGGTTTCTAGACACTAGAGCCTCTCATAATCTAACATGTCTTAAAATTATTATTTCACGGTTTCGAGAAATTGTCACTGAAGAAATTATCGGGTTAATTCAGAGACTATGTTGTTCTCTTAAAGATGTTTCGCGGTACTGTCTAAAATTATGCAGAGGAGTCACTCAACCACGACTCCTTTAGGAAAAACAACTCAATTCTATACTATACGACTACTAATTGTATAATAGATAATTGATCAGTGGTTTTTTCACCTTTATTTGTAGTTGATTTTAGTTATAGTTTCTTTACTTTGTCAAATGTTTTAGTTCATTCTTCTATGTTTTATGCATTGGTTGTGTATTTTGTTGTTTTCAGGCTCAGAGGAATAAAACCAGGAAAATCAGAGCGAAAAATTGCAGAATTCGGAATTTCAGAGGAAGTCAAAAAACCAAACTACAGAGTACCTGACACAGCCACCCGTGTCGCCTGACACGAACCGTGTCAGGAGAGGATGCTCAACAGGCAGATTTGGGAGAAGAGGCAGAGACTGACACGGGTGCCTGTGTCAGCTGACACGGCCCGTGTCAGAAGGTCTGGGCGAAAGAGTTGTTGGTGCGATGGACAGAGAACGACATAGGTGCCAATGTCAGGTGACACGGCTTGTGCCGGCATATGACGCTGATTTTCTGAGTTTTTTCATACTTTTTCCATATGTTAAGATGTAAGGGCGTTTTGGGTACTTCCAACCGGCCTGGATGAATGATGAATATTTAAATGAGTTTTCACAAGGAATAAATAAACTTTTTGGCAGCGAACAATATTTTACACGACGGAAGATTTGAGAAGTCAAGGTTTTCGGAGAGCGGGAGATTTCATGCGCGGAAGCAATTGAAGATCAAAGTTCATCCCAATCATTATAATGTCTATTTTTTGTCTTGTGATTATTTTGAACAATATGAGTAGCTAAACCCCCTAATTCTAGGGGTATCTCTGGTTTGAATCTGTAATGATTATGAATTCTTGAGTTCTTTAATAAAGTCTTCTCTATCCGATTTAATTGTACAATGTTTTTATGCTTTTCTGATCGGATAAATTAGTATTGATTTACGGTTAACAACCAACTGGACCGCATTTGTTAAGGTTTTTGTATAATTAGACTACAATAGATATCACCTAAGACCAGGGATACTCTATAGTTTTCGGATTTAACCCTTGATAAAATAAAGGCTTGACTCCATCAGATATCTCTAAGGACTTAGGATTTATGATGGATGGTTAAAGGTTTGCCCACTAAGGACTTAGGGGAAGATAATCTAAAGGGTTGGTAATTGAAGGATATGAACTTGTTGAAGAGATCAGGATTCAAGGTTGTTACAGGGCAAATTATACACCATACTCTAACATGCTCCTCATATATGTGAAAAAGCTCTAATTAATTGCATGCAGTCCTTGAGATCGACATTCGAGGAATTTCCTATTATTACTACAAGGCAAAAATAGTACACTTGCGATTTTCCCATCAATAATCGATCTAGAATTACAACCTCTGAAGACCCTATGGCCAGTCGAATATGGTATAAATTAGGGGTGGTAAAGTGGACGGTCCGCCCCGTTTAGGCCTGGCCCATTTAAGTTCGTAGAAAAGCGGGGTGGGGCGGGCAAACTTAGACATCCGAGCTCAAAAGTCAAGTCCACTCAGTTTACTAACGAGTTGGCGGGCCGACTCGCCAATTTTTTAAGTTTTTTTTTTCAATTTAATTTATTACATAATTTACAAAAAATTTAATCATTACTAAAGAAGTCGACAAAAGATATTCTTTTAACAATGCATAATATAACTTCAACATGTCTTAAATCCAAACACTTAAAAAAATAGATAAAGACCAATTTCAAGAAAAACATACCAAAATAGTCTCTAACACGATAAAAAAAGTATCAAAATAAATAAATAAACAACACATATCATCATAATCCTATTTAAAAACTAATTACTAAAAGAATCCAATTAATGATTTGCACAAGACAAACAATGATAACATTACAGTGCATAAAATATCATAGTGCATAAATTAGTAGTGTATAAAATATTAACACTTGACTTTCTCATTGTTTACGCTATATAGACTATCATATTGATTGATTCCTTAATATTTATATCTTAAATTTGTCACACATTTACTCTAATTTAATTCTTCCTTTTCTTAAAATTAACATTTGTTTCTAAAGAAAACATGTAGCTAATGTATTGACAACTTAATAATTTTTCATGCCATACAATTATTCTTGTATTTCAAGTTTTTCTAACCAATACATGTATTAGAAAGTTATATAAAGAACCTTACAATTAT